CGTTCCATGTGTTCGATACCCTACTTACCTGAACTAAACTGCTAATCGATAGGTACACTGCCTTTCGTGTGTTTGTCTTTGTGTTTAAGTTAGTAGGATTAAAACTAGTTCGTTTCACACACATCACTACCTTAAGGGAGCTCTAATCTCGAGTTTGGACCTTGAAATGTCCCAAAAGTGGCAAAACAAGCATATATGAAGATCTACTAGGAAAATGAACAAGGTAGAGGCTTTATTACCAGATGAAGTAGCAAATGGAAGCTAGCTTCTGGATCTCCTTCTTCTCCTTTACGCCTTCTCTCTTTTCTTCTCTTCTACACTTCCAAGAATACACCAAAACACTCAAAATCAAGAAGGAATCACTCAAGCTCGCCAATGGAGGGCTAGGGTTTTGAGAGGGAAACGCTCTAAGGGTGTTGGAGGTTGGGATGGGGGCTATAAGGAGGTTTAAATAGGGTGCAAACCCTACAGATTAGGGTTTCCTCCAGACTGGCTTACTCGTCGAGTCTAGGTGCGGACTCGCCGAGTGGATCACTTAAAACCCGCATCCAACTTGCCATCTACTCGACGAGTTAGGGCTACTACTCACCGAGTAGCTCTTTATAAAAGACATTTAATGAATTAATACATACCAGGAATGGGCGTTACACTAATGCAGGAGTCACAAAGACAACTAGCATCCTACACAGTATGGTGAGAAAAACTCACCTGACTCACGAGGTCAGCTAAACCACAGCTCACTGCCATGCAACCGATGCTACAACACACAAATGGTCCAGAAGGTGATATCAAAGATGAGAAGGTGTTGCTTGCTTGACCATTGCACAAATTCTCCTTCTACTTCCTTCAAAGAGCACCAAAACCACAAAAACAAGCCAAAACCACCAAGAAGGATTAGGGTTAGGGTTTCTGAGGTTTGAGAGTGATGGAGGCTGAAAAATGAACCCTAAATTCAAGCTTAGGGGGATTAAATATGAAGGAAACCCTAAAAGATCATGGGCATGGGTTGCAACCCTTGTCACGTCGTGACCAACCTCCAGATACGCATACTTCATTTTCCTGGTCACATCGTGACCTCCCCCATGGTCACGTCGTGACACGTGATTCTTCCTAAAAATCATGTCTTTGACTTATTTATGTCCTAATCTGATCCAATATGAAAAACGAGTGTTACAAACCACATAGTTTTCGGTTCTAGATTTGTCACGGATGCTTACTTAGGTGTTGTTTGGAGGCAATATTTATAGTGTTGGCTCAAGAAACAAGGTTTGTCTCTTAGCCATGAATTGTTGTACCATGTATAAGGTCTCTCCCCGACTATGATAACCCGAGTGTTGGTTGAGTGGAAACCTACTAAAAGATTTGACAATAACTCCTTCAAAATAGTATTTTGTTGCATATTAAGTCTTTAACAATCCATAGGTTTCTTAAAAACTTGATAAGAGGAAGGTACGATGTAGACATCCTCCACACAAATGTGGTAATACTGTTTCTATTGATGACCACAAAAATAACCAAAAATACAAACTCACGCCGAAATAATATCTTGCATGTGAAACATCAGCCCAAAATGAATAATAAACACTTGTGCGTGACTACAATACACATACAAACCATAAAGTTGAAAGTAAATGGAGTCCACGATAACGGTTCCAGTTATGTCCTATGTCATAATCATGTTAGAGTTCAAACGACAAAACCAACAGATTATACAAAAGTCAAGGGACTACTTTTGCAACGCATTCATATTATAGGAATCTAAATAGAAACTTGATTCATAAAAGCTCGGGGGAAAGGTGAATACCGACACGCTTTCATGGGACCCTTGGATTTTGTTGAATTCTCTTTGTTTTTAACCATCGCCGACCAGCTATGTTCCTGTCGCATATATAATTTTTTTAAACAAATAGTAATTTGATTTATAACACGAAGTAGTTTTATGCAGTATTTGTGTTTAATCAAACCTTAACAATATCTACATATTACAACACATGACATGAGTTGGGTTATATATAAAAAAATATATAACAAATATAGCATATGTTAAAATTGACCGAAGTTATCCTTATAGGTTACACATTAAAAGCATGTAAAAATGAATATAAACAAGCATAACAATCGAATAAATATCGTAATTTCGTACAGGCATGATCGTGGCTGTGAATAAAGAAAGAGCTTGAAAATCACAAAAGAAAAAGACAAAATTGCCACTAGAAGGAACTCGTATGACCAAGACAAGAAAAATAAGGGTATTTCGGTCATTATAAGAAAAGTCAAAACGTCTAGAATATATATGATAATATAGGCTAGATACATTGTAGGGATGAACCCACGTATCTATATCGGTCAGGAGAATTGAATTCCAAGTTGTTGGGAGGTATACTCTTACCAAACTAGTTCGGGTCCTAAAATTTTGAGGGTCTCATAAAATATGTATTTATATAAAATCAATAATTATAAGCCCCAGTAAACTAAAATAAAATATCAACTATGGTCAAGATAAAAATAACAAAAACTTATTTAAGTTAAGTTACCTTACCATTTGGCTTATGATTTTTCACTCTATAGTTTATTAGTAATGCACAAAATGATTTTTGCAATTTATTTTAATATAGGGAAAGAATTTTCTTTATCTCAAACTAAAATATGTTCGGACCACTCTAAACTTGAATCAATCTCTCCATCAAACAGCAAAAAGATAAATATGATATACTATAATCATAATGATATTTTAGAAAGTTTCATTTGATTACTATATTAAACATTGTAGGTAAGATTCGGTTATATATATATATATATATATATATATATATATATATATATATATATATATATATATATATATATATATATATATATATATATATATATATATATATATGATTTGCAGAAGACTAAACTGCACAAATGGTCCCTGTGGTATGTCGAAAATTGCCACTTTGGTCCAAAAAAGTTTGGACTAGCACCAGAGGTCCAAAGTTTTCATTTTGTTGCTTGTTTGGTCCAATTTATTTTAAACTTTTTTAAAATACCAATTTTGCCCTTTGTATTTTCTTTTTCTATTTATTTGTATTACAATAATTAAAAAGAAAAGAAAAAAACTCACCTGTATCACTACCCTACCCCTCCCTGCACTTCCCCTTCTCTTCTCTCTCTCTCTCTCTCTCTCTCTGTGAATTTTCACAAAACGAAACTAACGTCACCACCAACTTCCGGCGAATGGGGGTTCCGACCACCATAGATTATTCCCAATCGGAGTAACACCACCTTTCCATTTCTTTATCTCTCTCAACAACATTATAACTCGATGAAGATAGTAATCCAAAGAACAGATGGTTTGGTCGGAGAAAGAATTTGGTTAGAAACAGAGGTTGGGACATACTAAAGAAGACGAAGGGCAGCGAAGACGTGAAAACCCAGATCGAAGTCGAAGGTGGCTTCATCCTTCAGTAGTTCCGATTTGAAAACCTAGATACACATCATCGTCTTCACACATCGATGGCGCCTTCATCTGGAAACTCGAGCCACAAACTCCACCTTCGTTTCTCTCTCTTCTTCGGTGAGTCTCGTCCTCATCATATCCTTCTTCTTCTTCTTCGGCGAAAACCATCTATCGTCGACGTCCTTCTTCGTCGAAAACCCTAATCTAGATGAGATAAGGTAGAGGTGCTAGGGTTTCGGAAATTATTGATGGTATTTATCAAAAATTGGGTTTACAGAGATGGTTTCCCGACGGAGAAGAGGAACTAAGCAGGTGAAAAGATGGTCATCGGTGGTAGTAATCGATTATGGTTTGTTGTATGTAATGTCGGCTTTCAGATTTGCCAGAGGTTGGTGGTGGTGGAGACGATAGGGGTTGAAGGTGGTGGTGACTGACGGCGACGACGGTGGTGTAGTCGGTGATGAAGGGTTCGTGAGAATTACAAAGAACAAACGAAAATGGAAGAAGAGAGAGAGAGAGAGAGAGAGAGAGAGAGGGGAGAAAGAGATATTTATTTTTATTTTTATTTTTTTTAATCTAAAAACTAGAAAAGCAAATAAGAAAAAGGGAAAATCATATTAATAGGGGCAAATTCGTCATTTTATAAAAAATCAGAACATACTGGACCAAAAACGCAATAAAATGAAAGTTTTGGATCACTGGTGCTAGTCCAAACTTTTTTGGACCAAAGTGGCAATTTTCGACATACCACAGGGACCATTTTTGCAGTTTAGTCTTTGCAGAACTGTCAAGTAGCCTGACAAATGATTTCTTCATCATCGATTTGCCTTATGTATCTTATCATGAAAAATTAACTTTTTATATAATACTTAAAAATAATTCATTAAATATAAGATTTTGAGTTGTTTCAAAAAATATATACACAAGATTTTGTAACTTGTAAAGTCGATGCTCTCAAGTCCCTTTGTAAGGCTTGGTCAAAATAATATTTTAAGCTATTAAGTATTAAAGAAAAAGATGTGGAACTGAATTTTATGGACATGATACTTGATACTCCGACTTGGAATTTAACATAACAAAACATAGTCCTGAGCAAAAATTTCACATACAAAATCAAACATATTGAAATTGGATCTCGTAACACACACAAATGACATAATGCCACAAAAAACAATAAAACTGAGAATAATCCCATAAATTAGAGGATGGAACTGAATTTTATCTTCAAGATTAACCGTTTAGGGGGAAATGATTGAAAACCCTATATTGTATTATTGTGCATAAGGTGGAGAAGAAAGATGAGACATTATTACCTATCAATGGAGAAAGATTAGACAAACACCCCATATAGATCATACTACAAGTTCACAATCAAAATCAAGAACACAAATTTTTACATGATTTGCAAAACTACCAAGTATGAGATTCTATGCATACAACGGACCTCATTATCAGACTCTACAACTCAAAAGTTGACATTATAAAAAGATCAAACTTGTCGTTGATATCCAATTTCTAATAAATTGTTATAAACTCCTTTTCACTCTTCTATCCATGTGTTTACTGGGTTTATACCAATAAAAAAAATACATACATGTCTACACCAACACTAAAAGGAACATAACAATAACCAAAATGTGAATACCCTAAAAGGAGATGTATATATAATTATAAAATCCGACAATTTTATATTATATATTACCAAGAAAGCTACATACATGGAGAAATATATGTGAAAATATCCCAGGTAATACATGAAAAAAGGGTTGGGTCTAAAACGAACCAATGAAACCATATTTCTTTAACCTGTGAAATACCAATGATAATGATAATAATAATACGGATTAATTGTCAAAAAGAATTTTGGTGAAATGAAATGAAATGGAAATATTGACATTTTTAGGCTTTGAAAATGATGATATGTGTCACAATAAGCCTGCTTCAAAGAGGTTTCTCCTTCTTAGGGTTTCATCTACCAATTTGAATGTTTTCTTCACAAGTTTCTGGTCAAGAGCAGTGGTTCTGTAGATCTTGAACACACGATCCTGGTGGTCACATGTCACGTTCTGATAGTACAACTCTTCAAATTTCTTCTTCACAAACCTACCAAAAAATTTTAAAAAATAAAAATTCTTTTTGGATAATTGGATTAAATAGATTTTGAGAAAAAAATAAAAGTAGAATCTTGAAATAAATGCTTACTCATATGCATGTTCAACTTGTTGCTTTCCCGTTGAAACTGGCTGATAATCTTTGAACCAATCACATACGTTCAGAGGCACCTAACAAATCAACTCTACAATCTCAGACCAAAAATTAAAATTCTTTTTTTTTTTTTTTTTTAAATAAAAATCATTATTATTTAAGTACCACTTACTTTTGAAACCTTTTTCTCGAAGATGTCAAACTTGTTTAGAAACAGCATGAAAGACGTTTTCTGCATATACATTATTAATTAATTAATATTGCCTTGAGTTATACTAACAAAAAGACAGAATCAAAATTCAACACTGAAAAACATATATTGATATTTTTTTTTTACCTCGAAACATTTTTGTTTGAGGACCCATTCAAAGAGTTCTTTCGTCTCCATCATTCTGTTCCTGTTTTCATCTTCAAACAACGTTTGATCATACCTACAAAACCGTCATGTAATACAAAAAGACGTAAATGCCCTTGTAGCTGAAAAATATCAAAGTCAGATAATAATAATAATAATAAAAATAATCTTACTCGCTAATAGCAGCGCAAAATATGACAGCTGTAACACCTTCAAATAAATGAATCCACTTCCTTCGCTCGTTTCTCTGGCCTCCGACATCAAAAAGTCTATATACTTCCCCGCTTTTTTTGTTCTCCCCAACAGGGCTACATTCGTCCATTTGTTTTTTTTATTTTATCACATTAATAATGGATTTACATTTACAATATCATAACGGGGGTATTTTGGTCTTTTACCTGAACTGGATTTCTACAACACCGGTTGTACGAACACGCGCATGGAGAACATCCTCCTGCTCATAAATAAACTCGTTAACAAATAAATTAAACTTTAATTATAGCAGTGAAAATTGTATAATGTGATTTGTTAGATACCTTGGTAGGAATATAATTTGGATCTGATAATCTCTGCAGATTTTCCATGAAATAATCAGCACAATCGGGAACTTGAAGTTCATTCCCACGAGCATATGTTTCCTACAATGCACAAATTGTAACAATTAGGGTTTTTTTGTTGGAATTGAATGGAATGGAATGAGTGATTACATTTCAATTCAATTATTTATCTGTATTAAATGTTTGAGAGATACCTGTATAGCTGGATCTTTCCATATCTTTAAAATCTCCTCAACGAGTTCTTCAGTAAGACGTGGATAATCCAATCTCCCTCCAATTTCCGATAGTTTCTCTCCGATTTCCTATTACACAAAAAGTTTAATTCTCCAATTTCCTATTATATATAATTGGGGATTTTTCAAAGTACCTTATTGTCAACAGATAAGCCATACTTTGAAGCGTCTCCTTCACTTAGAGCCAATTCTTTTGCCCCATCGTGTAAAATCTATTTAACACGTGTCAAAATTCACATCAATGGAATATAACCAAGGTATTCTCAAATCTCGACATCACAAAGATTCAGGCAATTTTTAATTTTTAACACGTGTGTTTCTGTTTCTGTTTCTGTTTCTGTTTACAATTTGTCAAAACAAAGGAATATAAAACCTAAACACACCCTTTCAAGTATTGCATACTTTTATTGTCTGATAGACATTTGCATGGATGACTGAGGTGTAGCTCTGAAGCTCTCTCTCATCAAAGCCAGTTTGAAACAGTAGTTTTATCTGCAAAAAAAAAAAAAAAAAAAGGTTTCTCCACACTTTAAAATATAAAATTATAAAATAAAGATGATATTTATAAATAGATTTGCATAATGATTAAAGATATGCTACCTGTTTGAAAATAGTAGACTTCCCTGATTCTCCCGCACCTTAACAAAAATCATTGAATTATAGGATTAAATGCAAGAAATAGCAATGTAGTACTTTCACTTATTTGTTTATTATATTTATATTTATACCAAGTAATAGAAGCTTCTGAATATGTTTCTCTGCCTTTGTTTCTTGCTCAATACGCCTTTCTATTTCTGCAGCCTGGAAAGTGAAAACGATAACATTAATTTTGTCAAATGGAATCATATATGTGGAGTCCAAGATTGTCTCTCAAAATTCCAAAAGTGCCCTTATGGAGACAGGGTGACTCCAGACACTAACAGTTATATTACAGTTGAAAGGGCAAATTCACTACCTGCACATTTTCTTCAGTGTTAGCTTGATTACCACGTTTGTGTCTACTGCAGAGTAAGCCCATGTTCTTAACTGCAGTTTTTATACCAACTTAGATTCAAGTTGCATTTTTCATCAGAAGGTTTGTTGAATATTATGATGCTTCTAGAATACAAACTTCACCTGAAATCAACCATTTGTCAACGATAATTTGAAGATTTATGAATGAATCCAAAATATAAAAAATTTGCATCTTTTGTTTCTTTGCTATGATTCGCGAATTAGCTACTAAAATGAGAAACTTGTGAAGTGGGTGGTAATAATGGAAGAATCTATCATTTATGATGAGTGATTATCTACAAATTCTTTCTTTTAAAAGATTCACTTAACTTTGGATACAACTATGAACTCTTTAATTAAATAAAAATGCACACAGAAAGTAGTTCCATTTCCATATAAAAACAAAGGGATAATGAACATATGTTTTTTGTTAACTTATGGACAAGTGGTTAGTTGGATTTCACACTTCAAGTTTGGATCAATCTTATTCTTAACATCCTCTAGGATCTATATTGAAACAAATCATATGTAAGTTAATGGAAATAAAGGATCTTAAAAGAGTTCCCCAGTTTAATCCAATCTTCCATTCTTTCCTAACCATTTCCTACCAAGCATCTCTCAAAATACTCAGGTGCAAATTGCAGGTAATTAAACTTTCAAATTTCGTGAAAGAGAAACAGTTCAATTCTTGCCAAAACGGAAGAAGTACTCTTTCCCTATAATGTTAGGTAATACAATTGATTGCTCATGTTGCAGGAAATGCAAAAAGACCTGATGAACTCAATTTTATAGCAGTCGCAAAGGAAAGGAAGTTAAAAAGGTACTTCAAATCAGGAAATCGCAGGTTTTATTGCATCGAACTAAAAATTATTCAGATTACCAAACGAAGTACTCAATTAAAACAACTTAAAGAGAAAAGCTAACTACAAACGCGTAAACACATCAACGATGACTGCAAAACCCCAGAAAACAAAATCATGTTAATATCCGTATGAAGAACAATGCCAATGTCTAGAAAATAAAGTTCATAGAAATACATTCAAAGCGATAATTACGCTAACAAACGAACAAATTTCCCTTCGGAAATCATCAACTAAAAGCGGCGCTTCAAATAAAATGCGGAATCAAACAATTGCCAACAAAAAATAACATACAGAACCTAAACTTTAACAAGCTTAACAAAATCGATTTGTACACAGAATCAAGCTGTCCATAGAGTGCATCTAGCAAGCAAAGACGCTAACCAAGATGAAACTGTAGGATCCACCGAAAGAGATGAAAGAGAGGAAGCTTCACAGTGATCTGTTCTTGAGAGAGAGAGAGAGAGAGAGAGAGGGTTGGAAGTCCCAAAGTGGAGTTTTTATGGAACCATAGTTAAGTTAAAGCTTTGACCATAGTTGTAGTAGAAATCACTCCAAGCAAATGAAATTTATAAGCTAAATATTAGTTCTTTCTTCTAATGGTAAAATAATTAAAAGTTTGAGAAATTAAATTGCTTCTAATTATCCACTAACATTATATGTATCTATCATTTCACCATTAAATTTAATTTGATTTATATATTTCTAATATATTCTTAATGAGATGGTTAAAAAAAATATGAAATCGTGACACTTGTAATAATATCAGTGGTTAGTAATATTTGTAAGCATAAAAGGTAAGAAGCAATTTAATTTCTCTTAAAAGTTATAAGTTTAAGAAGCAGTCAATAGTTACCGATTTATTTGAATCATTGAGATACAACCCTAAATAACTGAATCTGACTGAATAATAAGGATATCAAAGATGTCAAAACCGAGTTAAAAAATTTTAAATATGATATCAAACAGTAAGTGAATATATGATATATAAAAGAATATCAAAAAATAAGTTGAGATATTATGTTAAAATAGAAAATTAAGTTACTGTTACTTTCTATTTTAAGCTTTATTCTCTGTTTTTAATATGTCATAATTGGTACTTATTAAATTTTACACTTATGAATATGCTAAGTATATATATAAACAATATTATTTGTACTTTTTTGTATAATGTTAAATCCCATTAGTTTAAGCGTCCGTTATATATTTTATGAATCTTAGCTTGTATCACTTTTGATTTTCTGTTCATTTAAATAATGAAAACAGTATTATTTCGTGGCAAAGTTAGTCGAGTCGGTTTTATGTTAAAAAAGATTATTAAGTAAAACTGCGGTAACATATAACACATTGTTCAAAGACAAAATGTAACGTTAATACAAATAAACCATTTTTAATGACCCTACATCCAACTTTCTAAAAGAAATATAGTAATCACAATCGGTATGTATAAAAACAAGAATGATGTGATGATATAATTATGAAATATGAAATAAATGATAAAACAAAAACAAATATGAAAGTTAGATCCAATAATAAAAACAATTAAATTAAATGTGTTTAACTTTATCCAAGTTGTGGACCAACAGATATTTTAATACGCTTTTTATTCGAATATTATTTTAATAATCAAATAAAATATTTGATACGTCTATAATTATTCAAAATTTAACAAGTATAGTCGTTTAATTAAGATATCACACTAATCATATCATTATATAGAATGAAATGTTTTATTAAAGTAAAATAACACATTAACCCAACAAAGTATATTTTGAATGTGTTCACTGATAACTTTTTTTGTGATTTATGAAGACATAAAGTAAATGTCCATCTGTTTTTTGTCATTGTTATCTGATATAACAGGTTTTATAAGTCACATCAGCTTTGTTGTATGTTTTTTATTTAAAACAATCATTTTTACAACATTTTCCATGAAAAGGTGTTAATCTAGTGCACCTGAGATACACGATCAAACAATGTGCATCAGTTTCACTATCTCTTCTTCAATATCCTTGTATCTCATCAGCTACAAATCAAACATCGATGTCGTCCGTTCTTCTCTCGCCACCGACTAAATCCACCGTGGCATGTCTAGAACACCGTGGCATGTCCAGATTCCCACTATTGTCCACTATGGATGGGCATTTTCTAGAGAGAAACTCCACTAACAGGACCCAAAAAGAGTAGATGTCGAATTTCTAGGTGGGCCTACAGTTGTCGGCGGTTCAGGTGCACGGTGGACAGCGGATCATGGGTCGGTAGTTGGAGGGTGAAGGAGGAGAGTTCACGGTCAGAGACACAGGCGTTGCCAGATTTATCGAGGAGGATTGTTGACCAGTCCAATGGTGTTCTTCTTGGCCCAGGTTTCCTATTTCATATATAGCACATAAAATACATCATTGAATTTTAATTCATTTTATTTTGTAGTCATCAAATTCATTATTCTAAACCCAAAAATTGGTTATATTCCTTTCTTGATTTTGAGTTTTTAGTTTTTAGACCAACAATGGAGATGATTACATCTCTGCCAGAAAATTCAACAGAGACCGTAAAATATGTGTTATCATACCAGTATGTTGAAGGGGAAAGAAAGTATTAGTGTTTTGTGAGTTTAATTGTTTTGAATAAAAAATACAACAAAGTTGATATGGCTTATAAAATTTATTATAAGAGGTAGCAATAACCAAAAAAAGCAAGTGAACATCTATTTTATACCCCATAAAGCACAAAAAAAAAAAAAGTTTTGGGGTTGAATGGGCAAATTTGAAATACCTTGTTGGGCTAATATGCCATTGTTCCTATTATTAACCCCAAGATACGATACGATGATATCAAGCTTCTAACCCAAAATACCTTTTTAACAAATATAACTGTTTAATTAACTTATCGTGTATCAACACTATCATCTTTTAATATATTACTAAAATTATATTGTAATTTTATATAAAGAAATATATAGGGTTAATGTTAGTGTAGCATCAAAAACTATTGGATTTGAGCTTATTTGGTCATCAAACTTATTTTATAGTATTATATCCTTAAAATGATATATGATCTATTAAATGAGACAACGATTATATTTGTCTTCGATTTATTGGTCGTAGTGCTTAAGGACCTAATTAAGTAGCTTACTCTTATCCACCTAAGTGCCACTTCGGCTTAGCTTATTAAAGAAGACTCTCCCGACCCCACCTGACAGGCTGACAAACCCTTGGTACATACGCAACATATTCTTCATTCCATTTTACCTGACGGCCTAAAATCGAAGAACCCTATATTAAACCACCAAAATGGCTTCATCCTCTAGTCGAAACTCCAGGACGAACTATGATATAAAGATATAAGTTAACCTAACTACTAAAATATATTGTTATTTTCTTGTCGTAATAGAGTGAAAGAAAGAATGTTATGAAGCTTCGAAAATCCTGCTCGATGGTTTTTCAACCGTCCATATTGACTAGTAAGTTAATAAAAAGTACTTTTGATGCATTGATTTATTATATTGGTCATACAAGAAAACCCTAATTTTGTCTTTTTGTTCTACAGTGTAGCAGAAAGCATTGTGATTACTTTGAATGGCTTGATTAACCATTACCTGGATGTACATTACAAGAATATGATAAGGAAAATGAAGTATAATTTTAGCACAAAGGAATAGTTGTGTCTAATGCAAAAGTTTAGATTAAACTAAAGGAGGTCGAAAAACTAAGGACTGAGAACTAGGTGAAGCGTAAGATGGATATTCTAGATCTAAAATTAGAAGTAAATACACTTTAGACTAAACTGAAATAGGATCAAATGGTTGTGTTTATCACTGTTTGTGTTTTTGTTACATTGTTTTCAAGATTTGAATGTGTGGTGAAATGGGGGTAATTGGGGTTGGCTTGTATAGTTTTTGGAGGGATTAATGTTATTTTGTAATGGGGCTCAATGGAAGGGGACAATGTGTGTATGTGTGTGTGTGTATGGAAGTACTTAATTGATGGTCGATAGTGTTGTAGCAGGTATTTGTCAGTGTCATATTGGTTTGGCTGTAAAAAAGGCTTTTTGTACATCAAGAACTAAGAATATATAATGGAAAGGTCCTAAGGATCTGCAACAAGATTCCTTTTGGTGTAATATAATCTTTGTTGTAGTTCACGAATAATGCAGTTTGAATCCATAATAGGAATGTTTCAGTACTTAAGACTCGAAAAAAATACAAAGACTAAGATACAAAATTAAACACCAACTTCCATATATAACACTAGGGTTTACAACCATGTAATTACATGTAATAATTCACTTCCAAAACCGAACCAATGTTTTCAAAACCATTTATTACACCATCATGCAACTACATAATACAAATTATTCTAGGTTTAGTGGTTTATTAGTTTAGTTTTCTTCTTCATCTTTATCACTAGCTTGTCTACTTATTTTATGTTTTATAATCATCTCACTCTTCCTCATATGCTTAAAAATGGTATGTAGTGATTTTATTTAAGGCACTTTAGTTTGATTTCAACCTACAAATCATCAATTTGAACATCCACTGCAACATCTATCACTTCATCATCCACCGTAACCTGCTTTATCACCTCATCATTTTACAACCTTCCATCCACCCATTTTAAGTCCATCAAAACACATATAAAGCTTACTAAAGTAGGTTTTTCTATTCGACGTTGCCAATACATCCATCTTCACAATGGATCATGGATTTGATAGTCTCATCTCCTTTGTATACGAGCCAAGACTAGCACAATGGTCACCAAAGGTACCCTTAATCCTATTTTATGGTCCTCCTACATTGCTTAGGACTAACCTTAATTCCAAACTTTTTAATAACATCCAATCTTAGTTGCCCAGTATTCATTTTTTTCCATATATAATATTTCCTTAATATCTTAACTAGCAATCCATGAGTAAGTTACAGTTGATCCTAACTAGAAGTTCTCAGCACAACTATGATCAAGCTTTGAATATTTTATATGGAATGATTCTTCATCATCCATATATGAAGCCTATATCATGAACGTGCATTCACCCTTCCAACACTTCACCAAATATTTTTTAGTATCATTCGTTTGTAACAAAGTTGGTACCCATTAGCAACCACATAGTTTCATAACATGAATTTCATTTGTTTTGGGTCTTGAAATAGCATCCAAAAAATAGGCTTATGTTTTTCTAGTGTTAGGATCCACTGAAGATGGAATGAACTTGGACAATAAATACGGTCTCACCTTCCATTTCTATATTGTCATCATCACCATCAAGGTTTTTTTTTTCTCCACTACTTTTTTGGGTTGTTGAACAACGCACAACTTACTTAGGAATTCATCGGGTTTTGTCACGTTCAAACTATTAATTCCATATTTTACTTCAAGATCAACATTCCAGTTATGTGATAAGTAGGCACCATGTCCTTCACCTACGATTACTGAATGATATTCATCTGGACTAACTGCTTCGTCTTTGTCCTCTTCAAACCATTACTGTAAATCCATATCAAAATACTCAACATAATTGGATATGTTCTCACCTAATATGTACATAATTTTCTATAAAATATGCATAATATATTTCATTTTCTGTTGGTGGAAGACCAAAATACAAATGTTCATTAAGGACACAATAGTAAAGTTTTTTCATAGGGTTCTTACCTAAAACGTTCAAGGAATGACACA